AGAGAGAGAGTTGTATAAAGAGGTCAGGGGCGACGTTTTCGAACCTGACTCTCGAGTCTCGGGTCTGGGGGTTACTCTCTCGTTCTCCTCGTACTCTGCTCGATTCTCTATAGGGGCCACGAAAGGGGGTAGCTCGGTCTTCTCGCGCCCTTGCGCCGCGGGCATCCCGCGTTCTCTCTGTGTTCTCGGTCGTTTGTCTCGCCTCCGCGAGTGCCCAGATTAAGAAAATAGCGGGAGGCTCCCGCAGCGCCTATGGGAAACCGGAATCCTCGAAAAAATCCCACTCTTCCAGTGGGAACCTCTGGACAGAAATTACCAGAGAGAGAGAGAGAGAGAGAGATTAATGCACTCGTACGATTGAATACTATGCAGGATGATTCTCGGAATCGGCGGAACAAATTGTGCTTTGAATTCAATTTAATAGTCTTAATTTTCTGGAACCGAAGCGGGCAACTTTTATTAAAATGTAAAAAAAGGAAAACAGGGAACGTAATTTATTCGATGAATTTTTGTTATTCTCGCGCCAACGTGCTAGTCGTATTTTCTGCCACAATGTGATAATCATCGGTAGATAGACCGGATGTTTGCGTGTTGAGTTTCACAGTAGTCGTTGTTCACGACGCAATGGTAGATTTATCTGATGGAATATAGCGATCGACAATGCAGCTGCAATACCGTCTCTTCCTCCGTTTCAGGGCTGATTTAACAGAACGATTAACATACTCGAGGACTTTCTTATCTAAAAAAAAAAGTGTAGTGTTACAGTTTGCACTAGGGGAGGAATAATAATATTCAGTTTCAAGTTCTTGCATTATGACGTCGAGTCGAAAGAAAGAAAAAGATTCGACGAGTACATACGAAGAGTGGAAATGACTCTGGCCTTAAACTTAATTTGCAACACGGAAGTAATTGGCCAGTTGTTTAATATCTTTCTCCCTCTCTGTCTTTCCCTTTTTTTATTTTTTCTGTTAAAAATAACACCTCCGAGGCGATAGAGGGGGAGAGAAGAGAAAGAGCGTCGCGACAGAGAAGTGAAAGGGGAGTGAAAAAGTGACGGAGGTTACTTCCGGAAAAATTAATATCTCGTGGGAAGGACGGTGCACCGGCTGTTGGCTCAAGTGCAGACGTCGCGAGAGCAGAGGGGACCACCGACGGGAAACTTTGTTTCCCCGAGCAACTTTCAACTTGATGGGTTCAAATACGTCGCCACGTTGTGGCTTTCGAACGTTCGCCATCTCGAAGAAAAAGGAGAAAAGAGAAAAAGACAGAGAGAGAAGGGAAGAAAAATTCTTCGGTATCTTCTAAGAATTTTCAAACGCGCGATAAATTCGCGCGAGTACTTTGATAAAGTATTGTTCGAAACTGAGAGCAGATATCTTTCGAGCAGAGTTTCGAGCTTTCCCGAAGAAACTCTGATTCACGACTTGAGCTTCCAAACGACCGCAAAACTCTCTCTCTCTCTCTCTCTCTCTCTCTCTGTCTGTCTTTCTGTTGTCGACTGAATTGGTTTGCTCTTCAAGATCAGTTTAATTGGTCTTGACCGCTTGACCGGAGTAATTGGCCGATCCGAAATTCGGTTTTGAAACTAGCTGCTGGTTGAATCTTGAGGCCATTTGAAGGCCTCCTCGAGATCTCTCTTTGTTCCCCGGCCGGACGGCCACCCATTGTTTAATGTTTGAAAAGTTCGAGCAGTTTGCAGTTCGCTTCGATTGTTTCCACGTCGATTGTTAAAGACAGGCT